GGGGGCGTTCATCCGGGGAGGCATTGGTGGTCTTCGAGCCAACACCCGGAAGTTCCCGTGTGTCACCAGGGTGATCAATCGCTTCATCGAGAACTACACTGCTCACTTGGACAGCAGGTGGAATTCCTTCGTGATCTTCAAGAACTCGAAGACGGTGATGCATCGGGATTCCCACAACTCCAAGCATCAGCCATCGTACCTGGTGCCAATTTCTCAGTTCACAAAGGGAGGTTTGTGGGTTGAAGGAGTGCCCGAAGGTGAAACCCCAGTGGAGCTAAAGGAGAAGTTGGGCCACATCAAGGAGTTTGTGGACGATGGTGGTGGGAGACAACCAATTGTGTTTCTTCCGAGGAAGTGGCATGCTACCCAGGATTGGGAAGGCAATCGGCTGGCGGTGGCAGCGTACTCCATCAGGGACTTCCACCGGGTGAAGAGTGAGGAGCAAGAGGTGCTGAATGATTTGGGCTTCGTCACAGCGGAGGAAGTCATGGATGAGGAGACAACGGGCGATTCGGGAGATCAACGTTGCTTCCAAGTACCTCAACATGCTACTGGGTCTGGTGGTGACGGGCAGCAGCAGGTTCGGTTGAGACCAATGCGAATGACTACTGACGTCAACGTCCTGGCAGCGTACTTGGAAGGGCATGAGGTTGAGCCGTTCACGGTGAATTGGCGAATGGACTCTCTGCCAACTGAAAGGCAAGTGTTCCAGGCTGCTAGGAAGGAGGATCTGGCTTATCAGTTCTGGAAGCAAAAGGATCGCTTGGAGCTCATCTTGCAGGAGGATTCTGAGCCGGTGCTGGAGAGGAGAGTCACCGAGCAGGTGATTGGATCATCGGTATCGGTTGATCTACATGGCGACGGTCACCATGGTGTGGAATGGCCCCGGTGGTACTTCGGCAATCTTTGGGCACTACGTGGAGTCTAGGAGAGACACCAAGTACCTCTATGTGAGCTGGGTTGAGGCCACGCGGGAGGAGTACATCCACGAGAGCGAGATGACTCGAGCGTTGCAAGAACTGCCAACACGGGGGGCAGCTTCTACAGTTCCTGCAGGTCCAGCGAGAGCGGGAGCTATCATGTCCAACAATACCACCTTCTCGGTGAGTCCAAGGGAGAGGTCTAGATCGAGAGATCAGGAACCGAGAGATCCCAGCAGTTCGGTTCGCTTGAACAAGTTCACGGGACCGAATCCTCATGCCTTACCACTTCAGCCGGTGAATCGAAGAATGGAACTGATCACCAGGTTTGTGAGGCTTCAAGAGGATGAGTACGAACGATGGGAAGCGGACGTTCACAGCGGGCAAGAGGTGATTGACGCTTTTCATGGACAATGGAGAGAGACTTTGCCCGTGGATGACACCGTTGATGAGGTGGTGCCAATGTTGGTGTACAACAGCATGGAAGATTGGGAGACTGAGCCTGAGGTCTACATGGTCACGGAGGACGGATTCCGAAGGCATTTGGTCACCATCATGGATGTGCAGGAGTTTCCGGCGGTGGACCCCACGCCTGAGAACACGTTGGACTGGGAGGAGTTGGTGGTCGTCCAGGTGTACAACATGTTCCTTGGAAGGGTGGAGTATCTCCTGTACTGGGACCGAAGGGTGGTGGTGGAAGAGGCACCATTGCCAGCGTTGCCATGGATGGGACGCCGGGACCCTCCGGGACAAGATGATCGGGAACCTCGCTTGGCACCAATGAGGGTGGAAACTGCGAGGGAGAACAAGCTCATCGTCGACGACATGATGTTGTTCGAGGAGGTTGAGTTCGAGGAGCTGGGCGAACCAGAGGAATCCTGGATTGAGCCTATGCTTAGGAAGGCTACCTCTGAGGGCCTTTACACCCCAGGGATTGAAGCGTTGCTGAACGACTTGAAGGAGGATGAAGTGCTTCAGGTTGTGCACACCGTTGACCCGAAGGAGGCGAGTGAGGCGATTGAAAAGTGGAAAAAGCCTATGGCCAAGGAGGTTGACTCGATGGTGGGCATGAACGCTATCCACAAGATTTGGGGTGAAGATGCGAGACGTTTCCGGGCCGATCCAAACTCAGTGGTGGTGCCGTCCAAACTTGCGTACACAGTGAAGCCTCCCACAAGGCCTGAGGAGGGGAAGTACCGTCGTCGAGTGAGGGCGGTGGCTTGTGGAAACTTCGCAAATGAGGGCCTGGAGGTGGGTGATCTGTATGCAGCAGGAGCTACAATCGATGGAGTTCGGATTGCGGTCGCTGAAGCCAGCGCCAACAAGTGGAGCATTGGAACGGATGACGTGAAGAACGCCTTCTTGGCTGCACCACTACCAGCGGGTCGTGGGTATGCAATGGAGCCTCCTCGGGCAGCGATCAGAGCTGGCCTGGCCGAGGAGGGGGAGCTTTGGGTCGTGGACGCTGCAGTCTTTGGTTTCAAGAAGTCGCCAAAGTGGTGGACGGACCATCGCAACTCAGAGGCAAGGCTTGCGAAGTGGAAGGACGATGATGGGAAGCCGGTGAAGTTGGAAGGCTGCTTGACGGACGTCAACCTCTACAAGGTCTTGAAGGAGGAGAAGCCTGGAACGTGGACTTTGACGGGCTTGGTGGTCTTCTATGTGGACGACGTCTTGGCGGCCGGGCCGGATTCCATCTTGCGAGGGTTCTTCGGATGGTTGGGCAGTCAATGGGAGACCAATGGCTGTGAGATGGTGGAGCGAGGAAAACCACCTGTCCGGTTTCTTGGCCTGGAGATTAGCATGCTGGACGATGGGACCTGTTGTGTGGGTCAGCAGGGCTACCTTCAGGAGTTGGTTCGAAGCCGGGAAGTCAAGTCCTTCAGCAAGCTGCCAATGGCGAGAGAAATCCCAGAAGGGAGTGCTACGGAGGAGCAGGATCCGAGCATGGTGAAAGAGGCACAGCAGCGGTGTGGAGAGCTGTTGTGGGCTTCCCAACGTGGGAGGCCGGATTTGGCATTCCCAATGGCAGTGATGTCTTCGTTGGTCACGCGAAACGCAAGGGAGGCTGTGAAGATGGGCAAAAAGATGGTGGCCTATCTCAACAGCACCATCGACAAGAAGTTCTTCTTGCCGGGCCCGGACCACGAGCATGCCAACGACTTGGTCCTGTTTACAGATGCCAGCTTTGCACCCACTGCTGCTCAAAGTTACTCAGGGGCTGTTGTCTTTTGGAGGGGTCATCCGATCCTTTGGAAGGCTTCGAAGCAGTCACTGACCGCTTTGTCGAGTGCAGAGGCGGAGGTGATCGCGGTGTCCGATGGGGTGGCTTTGCTTCGAGCGGTGAGGTCGGTGTTGGAAGACTTGGGACTGAAGCCAGCACGGACCGTGGTGAAGGTGGATTCCACAGCTGCGATTGGAGTTCTGACTGGGGAGGGATCGTGGAGGACGAGACACCTCAAACTCCGACATCACTGGATCCGGGAGATGATCGCCACGGGCCAGATCGAGTTGGAGCACCAGCCAGGACAGGGACAGCTCGCGGATGTTTTGACAAAACAAGTGCCCCAGGCGAGGCTTCAGGAGGTCTTCGACGAGTGGAGTTTGCGAGATGGGCCCCCTGAGCTTCGTGTACTACGTGGACAGAAGCAGGTCAAGTTCGAAACCATGGCAGTCAGCAGCAGTCTTGAAGCAGCAGCAGTCAACAGCAGTCGTGAACCCGCAGCAGCAGTCAACGGTAGCAACAGCAGGACGCTAGAAGCAGGGGTGAAGTTCCAGGCTGATTGGGCGTTGAAGTTAGCTACGATGTGCTCTATGGTGTGTGGGGTTAAGGGTGACGCGACGACTTCTGTGCAGCTGAAAGAAGCTCTGGCTTCAGACTGGGAGATGTGGCTGGTGGTCTTGATACTGGTTACAGCTGTGGTGGCTGTGTGGGAATGCTTGAAGGGTTCTACAAAGAAGGTTGTGAGCTTGAAGGCGATGAGATCTGGAGAAAAGGCCGAACACCGTGAAGTGTTGGCGTTGCTGGCCAAGGCAAGGAGCCTGGAAGAAGAAGAGAGGCTTCGTCATTTGGCTGCGAAGTATTTTCCAGAACGTCGTGAAGCTGGACCCTCGACATCAGTGCAGGTGAGAGATGGGGTGACCTCGGTGCCTGTGGGGTTTGGGCGAACCTGGTGGAGTTGGACCGAGGGCAAGCAGTGCTCCGGCCAATCGAGTGGTTGCCGTGGATCCTACAGCCCTATTTCCTGAACGTCCTGTACGAAGAGACATTGGGGTTCAGACGCAGGAGATGCTACCGGCTTCGACGCCGACAGTGGTGCAGGTTCCGTTCGATGGGGTCTTGTACCATGGTCCTGGAGGAGATTGCTATCACTGGCATCGTGGATGTTGGGGTCTTCGCAATGTGGACCAGGTGTCGCAGAGGACGTTGTGCAGGTGCTGTCGAGAAGCTGGTGGACAGTCGCTATATGGGAATGGTGGGCAACAGCGAAGCTTGAGACCTACCAGAACGGGCTGAATGGGCTTGCGAGAAGAGCGAGCTTGTTGGGCCGTGGCGTGGAAGTTGGACGTTGGCCGTGTGAGAAGGGAGGCCAAAGGTTCGACAGAAGATGGTGTATAGGGCCATTGGCCAGTCTTGAGGACCCACCGCTGGGAGAGCATGGGTACCTATGGCAGTCAGTTGGATTGCCAAAACGCCTTGTGAGCCTACCTTGACAGGTGGCTCAAGGAGGGGTGATGAAAGGTGTGGAATGAGATGCACCTGTGGCTTTGGCTTTGTGGTTCCAGGACATGCCGTAGGCATCGGAACACAAGCAGTTGCAGCACAAGACATGCAGGCAACAGGTCGCATGTTGTTGTGCGTTGGCGTTCCGTGGTGGTCGCGTGGTCGCCTTCTGTGGTAGAGGTAGGACCGCCTGACTGGCCGATGGACTTCGGTGCTGCAGTGTGAGGAAAAGTGAGCCTCTGGTGGTGCAGCTGTGTTCGTACAAGGAGTAGCTGCCATGTCGTTTGCTGGACCTCAAGAGCCCCGTGCTCTTGACCCTAAACCCTAAACCCTAAACCACTGGGCTACCAAGCTGCTGACAGCAGCAGGCCCAGGACGCCTCTCCACGGATCCCTCGCCGCCGCAAAGACCGATGATCGAAACGGCTCTCCGGCTTCGATGTGGGATGGGCGCCCATTCCTTGAGGGCTTAGGGTTTAGGGTTTCGGGTTTAGGATTTAGGGTTTAGGGTTTCGGGCTTAGGGTTTAGGGCTTAGGGTTTGGGGTGTCGGGTTTAGAAGCCCTTCTAAAGAACTTACATCGCGAAGAACATGCTTCCAAAAGTTGGGCGAAAGTTCACATCGGCGCGAGATGCCAGCAGCTCTTCGAGAATCTTCTTGACCCCCTCGGCATTCCAAGATGGGCCCTGCTCCTCGTCAGGGTTTAGGGTTCAGGGTTTAGGGTTGAGGATTTAGGGTTTAGGGTTTCGGGTTTAGGGTTGAGGGTTGAGGGTTGAGGGTTGAGGGTTGAGGGTTTAGGGTTTAGGGTTTAGGGTTTAGGGTTTAGGGTTTAGGGTTTAGGGTTTAGGGTTTAGGGTTTAGGGTTTAGGGTTTAGGGTTTAGGGTTTAGGGTTTAGGGTTTAGGGTTTAGGGTTTAGGGTTTAGGGCTTGGGCTTTAGGGTTTAGGGCTTAGGGTTTAGGGTTTAGGGTTTAGGACTCCTCGTTCTCGGCGAGGCAGGCCATCAGAGGAGACGCCGGCACGTCGACACCTAGGTTGGCGCTCGGAACCCTCTATGACCCCTGAACCCTACACCACGGAACACCCAAAAGGGAGAAAGCCCAAAAACAAACGTCTCCCGAAGGGCCTACCCTAAGCCCTAAACCCCAAACCCTAAACCCTAAACCCTAAACCCTAAACCCTAAACCCCAAACCCTAAACCCAGACGCCGTTGCCAGCGTTGGGGTCGGCTCCATGCCGCAGAAGCAACTTCACCATCCCGAGGTCGCGCTGGGCACAGGCTGAGGGGAGTTATGGCGTTGTAGTCGTCCTCGGCTAGGGTTTAGGTTAGGGGTTAGGGGTTAGGGGTTAGGGGTTAGGGGTTAGGGGTTAGGGGTTAGGGGTTAGGGGTTAGGGGAGGGGTTAGGGGTTAGGGGTTAGGGTTTCGGGTTCACGGTTCAGGGTTCAGGTTTTTGACTCAGGGTTCCTGAGCTAGGTCGTTTCATGAGAAAGAGCACAAGCCAAAGAAGAACGTCGTACAGCAAGGACCTGCTCACAGCACCCGAGATGTGTCCAGGTCTCTCCCAAGCCGTTCAAGGTACGCCTTGCCCGACGTAGTGTTCACATCTGCGGCCGCCTGCAGCAAAAGAGCTGCGATGTTGCACTCTCCCAGCCTTCACCGCCAAACACAGCGGGGTCTCTGCAAGGTCATCCAACGGGTCGTGGACTGCATGAGCGCGATGCTCCATCACGGCTCTTCAGAACAACGTCGCACAGGTGGTCTTCCATCCAGAATTTACCCAATTGCTGGGCCCATGCTGGGCCGGATGTGCGCGTTTAAGCTTTACAGCTGCCATGGCAGAGTCTATGGGGCCTGTGGCTGTCACCCCCGTTGCCGTGTCACCTGCTTCTCTTGAGACGTGACAAGAACCGTTTGCTGGTACCCCATAGGTGCTCACAGCAAAACTGCCGGTATAGCTTCGAAGCACCTTCGCCTGGACATGTCTGAGCTTCCCTGGATGTTCCCAACGGAAAGTAAAAGGTTCCAGGAACATAGCATTTCTGAATGCATAACGCTGGTTCAGTCAAGCTGTGTACTCTGGAAAGCATTGTGTCCATGCTTCAAGGCAAGCCCACCAACAAAGTATGCAATGCGCACCGACAAACATCTGACCCTAAAAGCCCTACAAACGACCGGCAAAAACCTCATTAAAAGTGCGTGCGCCGTAACCCCAATGATCTGAACTCCACAAGTCCAACAGCCATCAAATAAATCAATTACCCAACCAACTCCCAACAAGAATTCCACTCGGCCTCCAAACTCTTAACCAAGTAAGCCTACAAAGCCCTAAACCTCTTCCTCCCCCCCGCCCCCTCCCGCCCCCCTCCCGCCCCCTTCCAAAACAAGCACTTTGCCAGCGCCCCCAAAACCCCCTCCACCCCTCCCCCCCCCCAACCCATACATACCTATTTGCCAGCATTCAATGTTGAGGGCTTCGGGCCAGTGAAGATGAAGGATTTCACGGTTCCGGGGGAGTGAGGACCCAGAGCCTTCCCCACAAACCTCTGAAGCGTGTGCACGAACAGCACCATGCCGCTACAGACTGGCCTCAGGACCGCAAGGCAAGGTCGGCATGTCTCATGGCAGGTTGTTCGGGTCATGGGTGCTTTGCGTTCGGGGGGACTGGGCACAGCTCAGCTTAAGGACTTCTTGTTGCGCTGCTTTGCCCCCGCTCTACGACAGCACCTCTACCGTTGAGATTCGGCAGCCCTAAGCCCTAAGTAAGACTTACGATAAGACCGCCGGAAAATGTGTATGTCCTCCATGAGCAACAAGAGGCCGTTCTTGGGGCTCCGACGCTTTTGATAGCATGGGCCGCAGCACGGGACCTATCGTTGCCCTTTTTCAGTTCAAAAAGGCGCGAACTCAACACGGAACTGGTTTGCAGACGCTTGGAGAGGGTCTGGGTCTCTTGGACACCAAGGCGAGAGCATTGCCCCAGTGAGCTGCCTCGGCGACATGTTGGCAGCCTTGGCGCCTGCGGCCGGCGGGAAGGGGAACAAAACCATGCTTGTCTACTCCTGAAGACCCGTAAGGGAAAAATGATGCAACCGGAGTACTGAAGCCCAGCCAAACCCCGATATTCGGCAATCTCCAGGTCTGATTCATTTCTTCGGGGTGGAATCGCAAGGCCCTTTATGGAGCCGCCTTCCCGTCTGCTCATGTGTCGTTTCTGTCTGCAGAGAGTTTGCGTTGGGCCGATGTGCCCATCGCCAGTCGCTGATGACGAGATGTCATGCAGCAACTTTCAGCACTTCCCTCCGAACCAGTCCCTATCTCAAACCCCGCAAACCCAGAGTTGCATTTCGCGATGCCCATATCTTGAAACATGTTCATATGAGCCATCGTAACGCCCTATGTGCACGCTCCAGCCTTTTACTACCCCAAATGCCCCAAAACCCGCCACCCACCGCCGTACGGGGCATGCCTTTCTCACTCCTCATGGATAGTCTCAATCTGCAGAAGTCGAGGCCTCATAGGCCGTGCTAATGAACATACTGAATAGGCTGGAGGATGAGTCGTGTCGGGCTTGGGGCGGTTTACTGTGCGAACAGGGCATCAGACATCAAACTGCGGTCATCTCGGGTTAGCATGGTTGTTGGTGTTGAGATGGCAAGGCATTCTAGGTGGCTTGCAAGGTCGGCAAACTTTGAGGTTGGTTTTGGCTTGGTTTAAGTGGGGCAAAAGGTTTGAGAGGAAGATAGCAGGGGCACGGGCCTATGATTGCATTCTGGCGTTTCCCGACAGACCCTGCACTGGTCAAAGACACAACTCAGAAGGCCGATCAACAAGCATCTAAGAAGGCTTTCCAACGCAACGAGACCCGTCCCCAGGTAGCCACTCCACATAAACCACAATCGCCTTGCACCAAAAATGTCAATGCGCTCGGCCCATCTTCGGCCTGTAGGGGCCGAGGAACCCGAGTGGGCCCGTCCGCCTTCTCGCCTGCTGGAAGTTCACGGCCATGCTACGAACAAAAAGGATGTGGTACATAGTGTAACATATGAAAGTACTATACGGTACAACATGGTCCATGCTTTGCTATATAGCATCTGGTACTTTAAGGCCCCAGGCCCTGAGGTTTGGTTTAAGGCTCTTCGGAACGAAGCTAAGGGTTTGAAGTGCTTGTAGGGTTCAGGGTGGCCATTAGTAGGACTCTTCCCTGACGTCCTACCCAAGACTGCAGCGATGCTCTTCTGCAGCCGGCCCCTTTTGTTCCACGACAGCGTCTTTTGTCTCAGGCAGCATACGCAAGGTGTTCGCAAGGCAACACGTGCAAGAGCCATGGAGGCTACACGTGCAAGAGTCATGAATTTGACTGTGGAGGCTACGAGCAGATTTGTCGAAGTCGGCTCAAGTGCTCTTCTGGCACGCCGTCATGGGAGCGAAGAGCCGGCCAGGCACCTTCCGGCAGCCGCTCCCAAGCTGCGGCAGCAATTTGACCGCAGAAAGAAAAATCGACATCCTGGCAGCTGCGGGGGAAAAGCACGACAGGGCACCAGTTCCCCATTTTGAAACGCCTCTCTCCCGCCCGGTCCTGAAGTTGCCGGCAACGGCCAAGCGCCGAGAGCAGCGCGGCGGCCCCCTCGCCGCTTTCATCGAAACACCTGGGCCGGCCGCCGGAGCGGCCCACCGAACCCCCCCTCCCCCACGCCTTCCCCTCCATTAGCTTCGACTTCCAGAGCAACTCTTTCTAAACGCCCCCTTTTCCGAGGTGCCAAACAAAATTCGCCTTGGTGAGCTTCTTCCACTCGGCCTGGGCGAGCAGCTGCCAGGCGGCTCCGGGGATCTTCTTGCATCCGCCCATGTTCAGCTCCTGGCCGGCGGGCATTGTCGAGTCTTTCCAAAGGCTCTGGGGGGGGGAACCGGTCGCGGAAGGCCTGCACAGGTGCTCAGAGGTCTATGAAAAACAACTGGAGGGGCCTGAGCCTTGGAGCGGGGCCCCATGAGAGCGATACATGCCATCACTCGCTGTGCCATGTTGCTTCTGACGCTTATATTCTCACTTGTCCTAACTCCATTTCTTTAAACAAGTTTAACACTAGATCGGCTAGCTTGTTGCAACTTCCAGAACCCTTTACGACTTCTAGAATTCTAGAAGACCCGACAAGCTTCCGGGCTAGCACTTCGTGGGGGGGGGACACCTGGGGAATGCCATTCTCCTAGCCAGATGTGCTGAGAGCAATCTTGCGAACTCGGCCGAGTCCTGCAGTTGGTGGCAACCGCCCAGGACCGAGAGCAGCACGGCGGAGCCCTCGCCGCTTTCCTCGAAACACCTGGGCCGGCCACCGGAGCGGCCCACCCCCATTCCCCACGCCTTCCCCTCCATCAGCTTCGACTTCCAGAGCAACTCTTTCGAAACACCCCCTGTTCCGAGGCGCCAAGCAAAATTCGCCTTGGTGAGCTTCTTCCACTCGGCCTGGGCGAGCAGCTGCCAGGCGGCTCCGGGGATCTTCTTGCATCCGTCCATGTTCAGCTCCTGGCCAGCGGGTTTTGTCGAGTCTTTCCAAACGCTCTGGGGGGGGGAACCGGTCGCGGAAGGCCTGCACAGGTGCTCAGAGGTCTATGAAAAACAACTGGAGGGGCCTGAGCCTTGGAGCGGGGCCTATGAGGAGTGCTGTCAGCCCGGTAAGCTGTCGATTGACCAGAAAGACAGTGAAAAAATTGCAATCGGACTTAAAATATTATAAGAATGTGCATTTTGTGGTGTACATGTGCAAGAGTGTTGTGGATGTGTGTGTGTGTGTGTGTGTAAGCATTTGTGGTTGCAAAGTGGTTGGTTTGAGGGTGCATGTCTTTGGCTCAGTGTGCAAGGAAAGTGTTAGTGTGTGGAAAGAGTGGCATGCCATCACTCGCTGTGCCGTGTTGTTTCTGACGCTTATATTCTCACTTGTCCTAACTCCATTTCTTCAAACAAGTTTAACACTAGATCGGCTAGCTTGTTGCAACTTCCACTTACGGGCGAAGCTCACACTTCGTGGGGAAACATGTGGGGAATGCCATTCTCCTAGCCAGATGTGCTGAGAGCAATCTTGCGAACTCGGCCGAGTCCTGCAGTTGGTGGCAACCGCCCAGGACCGAGAGCAGCACGGCGGAGCCCTCGCCGCTTTCCTCGAAACACCTGAGCCGGCCACCGGAGCGGCCCACCCCCATTCCCCACGCCGTCACCTCCAGCTTCTTACTTCCGGAGCAACTCTTTCTAAACACACCCTTTTCCGAGGCGCGACCAAAAGCTCGCCTTGGTGAGCTTCTCCCACTGGGCCTGGGCGAGCAGCTGCCAGGCGGCTCCGGGGATCTTCCGGCAAAAGCCCATGTTCAGCTCCTGGCCGTCGACTTTGTGGGGTCCAAGACTAACACCTGGAGAAGTATACTGGCGTGGCCCAGGATCTTGGGCCTGAGCTGAGATCCATCAACAACAGTTTTGCCCTGGGCCCAGTCTGGACAGGATCAACAAATCACGTTGCTTCATGCTCATGTTCGTCATCACTTCTTGCCTTATTAGGCCTGAGACATGGGCGGTCAGTAGAACGGTCTTGGACATCTCCCACTTGGCACCGGAAGCACCGGAAGAGGGAGGGGCCAGACTGTGAGGGTTTCCGAATTCTCTCTGAACGCTTACGTGGAAGTCACGGAGATCACGATCCGCATTCATCCCGAGAGCCACCGCCTGCAGTGGCCTCCTTCTCCCGTGGACGTGCGCTGGGTTGGCGATCACCGTCGTGCCAAGCTGCTTTCTGCGCAGCAGGACCGAGGCCATGGCGCCATCTGATGCTACGCCGACGCGGCGTCTTCACCGGCAGGGTGCTTTCAGGGTTTGGGGGGGTGGCAGACCCTGGCATGTCTGCCCACCCCCAAAAAGGTTGGCATCAGAATTGTGCGTGCCCCCGGTGTCTTGTGATGCCTGGGCGAAACGTCCACCAGCTGGCATCATCAATCCCCCCATATCCTATAGACCTATATAAGACCCACCACCCACTCTCAGTGCGACAGCGTGGTGGAGACTTCCTGCCCCGCCCAACCTCGCACTCCACTGCAACTGCGTTCAGGTCCACGAAGCCTCCCCTTGGAGTCCTTCCACAACTTCTGCCAACTCCTGGCAGACAAAACCTCCACCCCCCTCCCTCCCTCCCTCCCTCTCCCCCTCTCTCCCTCTCTCTCATCTCTCTCTCTCTCTCTCTCTCTCTCTCTCTCTCGCTCTCTCTCTGTGCTTGAACCCTGCATCGGTGTACACTGGTGCGCAGACTCGAACGGCGCAACAAAGAAAACTGCGAATGCATGCGCGTAAGCCCGGGCCGTGCAAAATTGTGCGACGTGGGCTTCTGAAATACCTACTTCTGAGACCACCCCCCCCCCCCTCCCGCCCGCATTTTCGGCTTGCAAACCCGGATGGTTGCCATCCCAGACCCTCACAAACTGAGGATTCCAACAGTGTATGGTGACGTCACTGCAGCTCTGAGCATGTGTTTGTGGAGATATGTTTCTGCCAAAGAGGGCATGGTCCTACCTGAACACAACTTACTCTCCCTTGCCACAGCCAGCAAAAGGAACGGTAAAACAAGGAATGGGGCACGGGGGTATGTGAGGGAGGTGTCCGGCTTGTCCCTAATGCTCAAGTGAAGAAATTTGGCAAGGCCAACTCCCCTCACAAGCTTTCTTAATAAAGCGAAAACATATTGATTAATAGGAACCCTCCCTTCGACTGGGTTCCAGCTTCATCTAGGCTTAGGGTTCCCTGGAGCTTTTGTAGCGGGCGTCCTCTAAGTCGCATTGGCCCAGTGCTGCAAACAGCTCGGCATCGCTCTGTGCTTCCAGCGGTGCTGAAGGCATGATCACTGAGGTCACCATCTTTGGTGACATCCGAAGCCCGGCCGAAGTTCCGATCTCTGTTTGGCCCGTCTCGCCTGCGTAAACCGCAAGGGGCGCATAGTCACATAGCTATACAGAAAAAACTTTGAACCCCGAAAACCCAACTTTCTGAGAAACTGCAAGAGCCCCCGGCTTCACGCTGCTGCTTTGCTACAGCCCGTGGCTTGGCTACAGGCGCATCGGTGCGGAGTTACTGCCGGAGAAGATGCCACCAACCCATCTCATCACAACCCCCTACGCATGAGCAAGTTTCAGCACATGGTGCACTCGTGACTGCGCAGAAGAAGCTTTCGGCCCATGCCTTGAGAGGCTGGCAGAGGTCCGCGAAGCTTGTCCAGGTGCTCTTCCGGCACGCCCTGATGCCATCGAAGAGCCGGCCAGGCGCCTCTTGGCAGCTGGTCCCAGGCTGCGGCAGCAATCTCTTTGCAACCGTCGAAATCGACAACCTGGCAGCAGCGGGGAAAGCACCCCAGGGGCACCAGTTGATGCCCCTACACCATCCCCCACCCTGTCCTCAAGTTGACGGCAGCCGCCCAGGACCGAGAGCAGCACGGCGGAGCCCTCCCGCTTTCTCTGAAACACCTCGGCCGGCCACCCGGAGCTGCCCACCGAACTCCCCTTCCCTTCCCCTCCATCATCTTCGAGGCCCCTTTCTAGACGCACACTTTTCCGAGGCGCGCAAAAAAGCTCGCCTTGGTGAGCTTCTCCCACTGGGCCTGGGCGAGCAGCTGCCAGGCGGCTCCGGGGATCTTCCCGCATCCGTCCATGTCCAGCTCCTGGCGGGCTCGGAGGCAACTTTGCTTTCGGCCCCCTGCGGGCCTTTCAAGCAAAAGCTTTGGGGGAACGGGTTCCGGAGGCTAGCACAGGCGCACAAGGAGGTATACTTGCTGCGCCATTTTGCGTCTGACACTTGTATTTCTCACTTATCCTAACTCCACTCCTTTGTGAAAACCTTTTTTGCTTAGCTTGTTGTAACTTCCATAACCCCACACGACTTCTAAAAGCAGCGACAACATGACGGGCTTGCCTTACACTTCATAGTTCTAAGACCCCGCCCGCCACAAGCCACTCAAAGCCCTGGGACCCTGAAGCCCCAGCGGGGAGACACGCTTCGGGAATGACGTACCCCTACAGTACCCCGATGTTGTGGCCTTTGCCAACTCGGTCGTGTCCTGAAGTTGATGACCACGGCCCAGGACCGAGAGCAGCGCAGCAGCGCCCTCACCGCTTTCGCTGAAACACCTCGGCCGGCCACCCGGAGCTGCCCACCGAACTCCCCTTCCCTTCCCCTCCATCACCCCACCCTTCCCCTCCATCATCTGCGCAGACTGCTCATACCACATTCTCTCTGCTTTGCTTCCCCTCGACTTGAAATTCTGAAAGCGGGGCCACTATAGTGATGCGGGTCGTATTGTATCTGTCGGTCAGTAAATGTGGGGTGTTTAGGGTTTAGACGCAAGCCTCCCCACGTTCCACGTTCTTGTCCGCTGTAAGGTTAAACAAGTTCGCAGCCATGTGAGTTTTCAGGGCTGCTCCGAGGCTTTAGCGGAGGACCCTATCCTGACCCAGCACATGTCACGAGGGGGAGGGGAGCGGAGAATCCCAAAGTTCTGGCAGCTTGGGCTTCATGTCATGTTCCAAGGCCAGTCTTGGGCATGTGGCCGGTCCTCTAAATTGTCATACTTTTCGGCCCAGGTAAGCGCCCCTGTCCGAGGCGCCACCGAAAGCTCGCCTTGGTGAG